CAGGCAGTCACATGTGTATAACTGAGGATTTACATGGCAATGTCTTTGTGCTGTTTGTAAATTATTTCACTTGAATTATGATTGCCTTGAATGATATACATTTTGAGAGTGTAACATTGCAAAAGTAAACTTCAGCAAAAAGGGATATTTATTCTTCAGATTTAAAATTAATTTCCTGTATTCCTCTGTTTTTTTATCCTATCTAAGCTGTAACCTTATGAGAAGAAAAATGAGAAACTATTTCTTTACACTGAGACCAGTATCAGATGAAATATAAATGTAATGGTTTCTATAAACGTTAACCCACTGCAACGCTCTGTCCCAGAACTAAAGATTTGCAGACTGTTTTAGGTTAAGTTACTGCTCCTCTCCATGTTAGGTAATCCGATGTCATTTAAGTAAAATAAATTGGAACTACTCAAGGAATAAAAAGAGGTGAAAGTGCAGAATCTGGTTTGGATAAAAGTTTAATTCTTCAGTTCCAAGTGACATAGCCCTTACAGGAAGCAGAGCAAACTCAGACAGGAGTGGCCAAGTAATGAAGATGGATGCATCTTGTTATCAGCAAGCCATTTACTAGGGCTTGATGTAACCTTAAACATTGCAGATAGCTCAATGGCACTTGCCACTAAGCCTCTAATTAATGAATAGCAGGCCCTAAATTAACAATGTGCATTTACAGATGAATTCTGGGCACTCATTAAATGATGTTCAAATATCAAGCAGTAACTGTTAGGTTTATTCCTTCTGGATTACTGTATACAGTGTTTGTTTGCTGGGAGTTTCCACAAGAGGTTTTGTGTGCACAACCGCTGCGAGCCCAGGTGCGCTGCAGAAAAGAGTATAGTTTGCTGGAGGAGGGCAAGCTGGAGTAGCTGTAACCTGTGCACTGTGACACCTGTGCAGCAATTTAAGGAGGATTAGAATGGGGAAATAAAGGCTTGATTGCTTGAAGCTGTTCTCAAACCTCCATTTTATGTTACCCTCCTTTGTGATAGCTACACTGGTGCTTTCCAGGGCAACCTGGAGCAGCACCCAGGAGGGTTTGATGATGCGTGAGTTTGTTTAGTAGGGACTAGTTCCCCCGCACCTTGTGCCTGTGGGAGAAGATTGTGATGGAAGGGGGCCTCACCCAGTGTCCCAGCTCCTTAGTCAAGGGAGCAAAGATATAAGGAACTTGGGATGAAAGCTGCGTCTTGACACATATGTGCCAGTCAAAAGGTATGTTAAAGCAAGAGTGCTAACTGTTTAGCTGGTCCTACTGTGTGTGTTGTGCTGCAGGAGCAGCAATGGTGCAGCTATGAGAAATGTAGCTGAGCATGTTGTAGCATCTGCTAAGACATACCTATATTATGTCAGAAGAAGTTTAAATCACCTGCTATGCTGAAATACAATGCAAGTCAGAGAATGTTCCTTTCGGAGACATTAGTGCAAACTGGGTTTGAGGTCAAACACGCAAACCTGATGTAAGCAAAGTCAGAGTTGAATCCAAGGTCTCTGGAAAAAATAGATAACTGATTTTCCTGTGAATGGATCCTCTCAGACTAGTATAGCTTCAGTATTCAGCAAAGTGATGTTTTCTGTGTTATGAAAGTTCCTCTTGATGTGCCATTCAGCTCTTCCTGCCTGATAAGTTCAGTAAATTATCTGTAAAAAGGAGGGGCTAGAGAATAAATGGTGCTTTTCTGAAAGACACCTTGCACATCACCTTATCCCAGGACTGTTCTCCATGTCAGAAAAGTTCTAATACAGTACTAATCTGCTGTGATGTGAAACTACTAATGCGGTTGCCGTTCTTGCAGCATTACATACAGAAGAGAAACATCCGCTCTGAGCAGAGCTCACTTTCAGCTGAGCTTGCAGACACTGGGGGTTTGTGCTCAGCGCTATGTAAGTAGGATCCCATGCACATTCCACATAATACAGTGCCATGCATCAGTTCCATTTATGGGCAAAATGAAAGACAGTCTCTGCTTTCTGTGGATCGTTCCTACATCAGTGTTTTCAAAGTGGGATGTGGACAAATTTAGCCACTCCCATGGCCTCATGTAAGCAGTTCAAAACCAATGTTTTGCAGACTTTCTTTCTTTTTTTTTTTTTTGAAAGGGGGAAAAAACCCACAAATTTTTACTTAAGACAGCATTTTGTACGGAAAATACCTGGGCTGGGATTTCATCACCTGAGTTTCCTTTGTAATTGGCTGACAGAAAAAGATGGGAAAAGTAACTGTCTCATGTACCTTTCCCAGGCTGTTTTCACCATAGGGGACTAAATGTATA